TTGCAGGCAGTCTCCTTTAAGAAAAGAACCAAATAAGAATGAGGAGTCCCTGTAGGAGAATAAGGAGCATAAAACCACAGAAATATAGTATGATCTACTGAAATGTTAAATAAAGATCCTTTCTTGCACACCAGTCTTAGAAAAATTGCAGATATACAAACACTCTTCTTTAGCACAAATACAATCAGCTCTTCTCTCCTCCAGGTAGGAAAGCCATTTCTAAAATAAATATGCTTCATTGCACATTTAATAATTGGATTACCATCAATCAGCAAGAGGCTTGAGGATATGAAATGCCTGTAGAAAATCAGAACCACAGAGCAAGTGCCTCGGAGTTAGTACAAGTAAGTCTTCAGATCGGTTAGTACTGTATTATTGGTGCTGATTTGCTGTGTCAGTTTCAAATGGATTAGTGGCAAACCAAGAAGAAGAAAAAAGGACAATTCTGATATCTTTCTTCTTGAAAATATAATTATTTCTAGAGGGGACTGATTTAACACAACCATGTAACTCTGATGCTACTTTCTTAAGTGCCAAATTCTCTTTGGCTTCAGTGTTATAAACTTTAATGGTAAAAAGTAATATTATTTAAATTATATCAAGAATCATCTGCTGAGATTCAGAGAACTCAAATAATCTTTCTCTTAGTTTGTCCCATCTCAGTATAAATTGCTGTAGGATATTTTTTTGAGTCTTAGCAAGTTAAATACTGCTAGATGGATATTATTAAGACAGGTGTTATCATCCTTGAGGTGGCCAGGTTTCACTTAACTTTTTGGAGGAAGGATGAAGGCTGGAGTGAAAGGGAATGGGCAGAAGGAATCAATGGCCCCAAAGTGGTGGGTGTGACTGGGCAATTGAAACCCAACCCCTTTTTAATGTGTGTTGCATGCATCACAGATATATAAAAAGAGTCCAAGCTTTGATCACTCAGTCACACCCACCATTTTGATGTTGTTGATCCTCCTTGCAGGCACTCCTGCTGAAGCAGGTAGGACAGTGATCCAAAGTGAGGGCTACCATGTTGCACACCTGCAGTGCTGCAGCCATTAGGTTGCCTACCTCAAATATTATCTTAAACTATTTATATACTGCATAACCTTGAACTAACACTATTTCTCAGCTTAAAGTACCTCCACAGGATTGTCTTATGAGAAACAAACTTGAGGGAGTGTTGTATACTCTGTCTTGAGCAGCTAGAGGAAAGATGGGACAGAAATCTAACCAATAAGCAAAACACTCCATTGGATGCAGAGGAATTGATTTTCAGGTAATGCCCTTAATTCAACTTTTAAAATGGGTTATAGTTGAAGTTGCACTCTAGAGCATCAACGCTCTTCTGACTAACCATGTAAGATCCTGTTGCACATTCCACTGAATGAATGAATGAATGAATGAATGAATGAATGAATGAATGAATGAATGTGTGTGTATTCTTCCAGTGGGATGTGCAATCCAAATGTATATTAACTCAGAAAAATTGTGTGTTTGGTGAGGTTTATGCCCAAATTATGCATTATAGGCTTAAAGTATTTTGAGGTGGTGGCATCATGTAGCAGATCTTGTCTGATCTAGGAAATGAAACAGGAACAGACCTGGTTAGTACTTGGCTGGGTGGCCATCTTGGAACTCCAGGGCTAATGGCTAAATTGAAAAGATTAAGAAACGTCCTGGAAGAAGGCAATAGCAACCCACTTCTGAAACGCTACCAATAAAACTGTATTGGAGCAGTCAGCAAGAATTAACCTCAACTTGAGGGCACCTTTACATTTTTTGCAAAGAAATGTACCTTGAAATTAATTGCAAATGAACTGGAACCCCCAAATTGTACACTTCAAACATCAAGTTTATATTTAAAGACATTACTCTCTGAAGAAATTCTACTTTCTGCATATTGCCAATATATTTATGCATTCACCTGCCATCTTCTTGCATGTTGTATTTCTTGTCAAGATGTAACTGAAACCCAGATTTTACAGGTACAACTTTGACTATTATCTTCTATGTATGAGGACATACTGTATATTCCAAGCTGTGAAAGCATACTTTAGTAGAAGTAAGGAGTATTAGATATAAATTTTTAGAAATAGATTTTCACCTTTTAAGTTTTGAAGATATTCTACTATGACCTATATGGAGCCCTAATCTTCTCTAATATTTAACCATAGCTTCATAGTACAAACAATGGCTTGGTTACAACCATTGCCATTCCACTGGCTTATGCAGTTCTAGCTAGCTATGACCATCTAGTGCAAATTCTTCTTTTCTCTGAGCAGCCAAACTTACTTTCAGAAAAGCCAGATACAAAGTTGTACAGCTTATTTTTTCCTAGCAGGAGCAGAGATTTGTGACGAATTGTGAGAGAGCCTGTTTTTTCTCCCTCCCTGGCAGTGTTGCTCACATGCATTCATGAAATATTGACTGTTTCATGAATGCATGAAAACAAATCCTGGTGATCAGTTCCAGATTCTAATGACACCAGCACCAATCCCAGTACTTGGTTCCATGAAATCCAGCTACTAACCTTGTAATATTTAACACAATTATTGACAATATTTTTTCATCAAATCATGGTGTAGTATTACCATTCTTAGGGAAGAACATATGGAAAATCTATTTCATTTTCATCAGTTTGTATGTTGTCTTCCTTTCAGGACTTCTGAGATATTTGCATTAAGAGCTAATAGACAAAATGTGAATGTGAAAGTCTTAGGTCTGAATCCAGCATTTGTTATAACAAAATGAATTATCTTGCACTTTCTTTATTACGGTCATAGGCCAGCATATCTCTTGACCTAGGTAAAACAATATATACAGGCAATGAAGGCTTATAATAATAAATGAACATTTGAGGGGGAATAAGGCAACAAGGAACAAGGATGATCCTCATTTTGCAGCAGTCCTATACATAAGCTTACCTGGCAATCAGTTATATTGGAGAGGGGATATTCTGTCCAGGAAAATAGGCACATGATACCACTGCATGTGATATGCATCTGAGTGCATTCAAGATGCCCATGGATAATATACCTTGGGGCGCTTCTTCAAGAGTGGGAAGGGCTGGATTATATCACCTGGTGGTCCTGGAAAAGCCACTGTTCACTAAGCATCCGGTAACAGAAGCCTAAAATGATTCAATGCCATCCCAGAATCCTGTGGCAAAGCAGTACCAAGAACTGCATGAATATGATTTATTAAGGGTTCCCAGACTGAGATCATATTAAATACAGTACAGGTGGGAAAATCAGGAAGATGGTAGATATTTCACGTCTTCAGAGTATGCGCTTGTATTTGCAGCACTGATCACCTAAGAAGAGGAGGGAAATCCAGCTATTAAAGAGACAACATTAATTTTTAGCAACCTTCTGCTCCCACTTCTGCCACCTCATATTCCATAGCGCCTGTGGCTTTGTAAAGCCTATAAAGGGCAGCAAATCAGTGCATTTTGAAGTAAGAATGGGCTGGGCGAGGTGGGTCCAGTTTTTCTCTAATTACACTCTGCTGCAGGCTGCAACAGTCGCGTTGCGCCCTTCACTGGCCTTCCAATTTCCCCTAGCTGAGCCCCGCGTTTTCCAAAGGGCGGGAAAGGAAACCCTCGCATTGAGATTTAAGCCCAGGATCAACCATGAAACTTCTACTCTTCGGATAATCACGGACTATGGCGCAGGGTGCCACGCGCCCTGGCAGTGAAGAGAGTCGCAGCCAGCCAACATGCACCTTAAGCCGCCTGACGATACAGAAAAGCGCAGCCTCCCCCACCCCGCCCCGAGAAGTTAAATGTTGGCAGTCGCACTTCACTCCAGGGAGGGTGGCCAAGAAAAAAAAAATCTCTGCAGTTCCAAAGAGAAGAGCTCTCAGGGAGAAGGGCTCATGCTTGTGAATAATTGAAAGCCCGCAACTAGATGAATGGGGAGAAGAGCTCTGCAAAACAGGGAGTTGTCCGAAAGGAGGGAAAAGAGTCTAGGCTAGGTCGTTGGGGGCGGAAGAACAGTCGTCTTCCCCAGGGCGAGGGTTCACCCAGGCTGCCTTTCAAGACATCACAATAACTAATAAAGAGAGAGAAGCCCTTCCTCAGAGCCGCCTTCCTTAAGCTTCAATCACACGATCTCTTAGCGCAGCCTTCTCTCATCTGACCCCTCCAGATGCCTTGGGATGACAACTCCCACATTTCAGCCCTGTCTCGAATTCAGGGAATTGTAGTCCTAACGCATCTGGACGACGTCAAGTTGAGGTAGGCTGCCCTAGGACATCCTGCGCGGCTCCAGTGCTTCCACGATGGCAACGCTACTATGCAGGATGCCTCGGGTCTTCCCAAAGAGCAAGCAATTGAGCTCTTATTTCGCGAAGAAACGTTGCTTCCCTCCGTCAGCCCCGCCTGCATCCCCTTGCCCTGAAATGCGCGTGTAGTATTATTCGTGAATTCACGGCGCCGAGCTGCACTGCCACGGGTGCTGTGCCACCTAGGAAAACACCAAGTGAATTGGGCGGGAGCGCCGTAGGATAGTCCTGTTCCCCAAGGGGCTCCTCTCCGCAGAGCTGAGGGCGAGTATCCCCAGCACATACACGGAGATACCCCCATGGCCTTATGCGCTGGGCAGCCTCTCCTTGCCCTGCAAGTTCATCGGAGCAGCTTCTCCCTCAGCACTCCATACATGCCCCTTTCCTGGTCGCCAGGGTGGCCCACCACCCCGTCAGCCCCACGACCCCTTTGGGGAAGAAGCTGAGCCCTTTGCCTCCCGCTGCCCAAAGTGATCCCCGCGAAGCGCTGGGGCAGCTCCGGCCCCAGCCCCAGCCCCTGCCGCACGCGCGAAGTTTGGAGCTCAGGTCTCTGCCCGTTCCTCCCCCGCTTCTCCCGCCCTCGCGCTCGTCGCTGTTGCTGGGTTCTGCTACCGCGGCTGCCAACGACAGGACAAAGGCACATTAACACGTGATGGCAAAGGCGCTTCATAAATGGGACCAGGAGGCAAAGAAGGGGTGTGCGCGCGGAGACAGACCGTTCAGAAGAAGGGGGACGTCGGGCAAGCCGCAACATTAGTAGCGACAGCAGCAGTGAAGCAGGAAGGGGAGGTGGAGACCGCTCGGGCGCAGGGGAGGGCGGTGGGCGCAGCTCCCTTTCCTCCCAGAGCGGCAGGAAGAGAAGCACGGGAGAAGCACATGGCGAGGGGCGCGGACGGCAGGGGCTGGCGCACGTCCTGACTGGCTGAGAGGAAAAGCGAGCGATTGTCCACCTGCCTGCTCTCTCCTTCCCTCCTTGCTCGGCTGCACCGCCGCCTTCTCACCCGCCTTCCCACCACCCTTCTTCTCCCCTCAGCACCGCCTGGCGAGAAGGTCGTCGCCCGCCACCCCTCTTCAGCGACCTCTCTCGGGCTGGGAGTGAGGTTCCGTCAAGGAGAGCACGAGGCGCCGGCAGCCGCCAACGAGGACCAGCGCCCTGCTTTTCTCCCTTCGGCCGCGGGTCGGGAAGAGACGGTGCCATGTGAGGGTGGAGAAAGGTAAGGAAAGGAAAGGGGCGCTTGGGGCAGCGTGTTCCGGGGGCGCTTTGTATGGGCTTGCCTCTTGCCCTGGCCGTGAGGAGCAGCCAGCCCATGACAGGACTCGCTAGGGCTGCGCTGTAGAGGAGGAACCTGCCCTTATGGATGGTGCCCAGTGTGGATGGAAGCCCTGTTAGGGATAAGACGCACCCGCCCATTTCACTCCATTCCATGAAGTCAGGCGTGATGAGCTCCTCTAAGGACGAAAAACTCACTGGATCATTCTCAAGGTAATGCGAGTTAATTGTTCTACTCTCAGCAGCAGAGAGAAAACACTTGAGAGTTCAGCCCACACACAGTTGGAGCCAGTCAGCAGAAGACTGAGTCTCGACTGATTTAATTGTAGCTGTGCACTGTGCCTTTGAACTCCGATCCTAAGCATCCTAATCGGTGGAACTTGCTGGCAAGTAATGTCCTCGGGGTACCAGTGAATTAAGTAATGCATGATTTATTTTCCAAGTCTGTAGATTTTTTTTTTTTAAGTGTTTCCTTTAGGGGAGCTCAGACAGCTCATGTGTGTCTACTGTAGCAAGCTCATTGTGTATGTGCCTTGTGATATCTATCAATCTATCTGGCCACACAAATGCATACATATCACCTATTAAGCTGCTTTCTAGGCAGTTTGTAGATCATCTGTGTCATAGATATTTTGGAAAAATTGAATATAGTATCAAGCATTTGGAAACTGGTCAGTTATGCCATAAAGAATCAATAGGAACTATCAATGGGAATTAAACAATAGTTTGCAACTGACATTCAGAATAATGCATTGCTGCTTTAACCAAATCTCCCAGTACCTGATGAACCATGAAAGTTTTTTGCAGCCCTATAATCTAAATCCCCATGCAAATGCCCTTTGTCAAGATATTTGGGATTTCTTGAATTAGTCAGAAACATAAACAGACAGAACATTACCTCAATGAACAGGGAATTAGCTATTGATTAATGGAAAAGCCTTTTCTTGATATTGTGCCTCAAATCTCTCTCTTTAGTGTACTTCATGTATTAGAGAAGAAAATAGCAAAGAATGCTTGTTTGGATTAGCTAGGTTTTGACATGCCTGTTTATTATTGATATGTAAAATGGTTATTGGGATCTATTTGCCAGAATAAGCTAACACCCCGAATCAAGAAATTTTGAAATGCAATAAATTTTTCATAGATGCCATATGTCTTAACAACAGTTGTTCACCTTTATGGTTTACTGTATACTGCTCCTTTCTTCCCTTTATATTGAAGTATAATTGGTGCTACTCAGATAAGATCAGGACAATGTGACTATAAAAGAAGGCAAGATTGAGCAGATAACATTTTATATTCTCTCAATTTAATTTTTTTTTTTAAATGAGCATGATTTTAACAGAGTGGGAAAAATACAAGATATGACAAGAGCCACCCTTGTAGACCGGTAGTTTTGTGGTTAACAATATGTGTTCATTCTTCTCCATGCAGAGCAGTCAACCTTCTAGGTTCCCCTAGGACTTTGTCAGACATAGAGGGTTTCATCTTTAATCCTAAGCCTTTGGTGATTAATAATGGAAGACATTGTTATTGATTTTTCCTGTATTTCCTCTGTTCTCCCTTCCCTACCAAACTCCCAAGACTTTAAAAAGGAGAAAAATAGCACAATAGTTTTTGCTCTTTGGTTATCCTGGGTGCAAAAATGTTCAGTAAGGGATTAAAAGACCAAAACAAGCCCAATACATTGAGAATCCAATATTGGAAAAATATTTCAGAATCTTTATTTCAAAACTGGCATTCAAAATACAAGTAAAGTAAGGTTAAATTTTAGTGTTAAGCATCAGGTATTTTGACAGAAAAATTATTTCTACAAGTTAAGAAATCAGTGTACAAAGATTTATTTATTTATTTCTAACAGCTTAGGTATTATAGTGTGCTTTTTCCTTACTCTTCTTGTATCTTCTTATGATGTCATTGTTCTTCACTTTACAGAACATGTATCTTTGCTCCTTGTATTACTGCAGTTGTTTGACCTAAGAACGTGATCAAAGTAGCATGTTTACATCTAGTGACATTTAAATAATAAGATGGTTAGCACTGGAACAATTATCTGAGAATATTATTTTTCACAGATTACATATAGTTCAAACTACATAGGTTTGCCTTTTTGCAAGAAGAGAAAAACTCATTAGTGTGATGACAGCTTATATTCTGCAGTGGGTGTAAATTAACTATAGGAGAAAAAGCATAAGCATCTAATTAGTTTAAAGCCAAATATACACATATTAAATCACATTAGCTTAAGAGAAGCTATGTAGGAAATGCAGAGGATCATTTTAATTCTACTGGAAAGAGAATACATTTATGTTCAAAAACAATAATTTCATTTAATGCTAATAAGCATTTGAAAAGATCTAAAAACATCCAGGTATAGAAGAGTATTTTCTACCAATGTGCACATAAAGCCTCTGGTAACATCTCAAATATATTGGAAAATAATGCAATAAGTAAATAAATGGATCAAAGCTGGACAAGATCCAATATTTTATTAATTTAACCACAATTCTAAATTCACTCATGAGATCAAGTATAAGTGGGACCTACTATCAAGATTGTATAGCACCTTGTCTTTGATTTTCTTAGAGGTTGTTTCTCTGATCATAAAGTTACTTCAGTTGCATACAGGATCAATTAAAGGTATTAATCCTGTACTACATGGATGATGTGCCCCAAATAAAACCTTCCTTTGTATTGTTGAACTTCGATAACTAATTAGCCAACTGAATATGAAAAGAATGTTTAAACCTTCCTTAATTTCATATCATGACATAAACTTGTTTAAGACAATCTAGTTAATGCTGCCACTATCTTGAAAGTTTGACTAGTTAACTTAGCATTTAAAGAAAGATTTGTAAAATATTAAAATGTGAGCAAAAATCCTAGCCAGATTAATACTTCATTTTTCCAGAGGTTTTTTTTTTTTTCCTGAGTGTACAAGACTATTGCATCTGCTTTCCTACATCTCACTAATTTCTGATGGGAAAAGTTAAAAAAGAACCCTAAAAGATTCATGTCTGTTTCAGAATAACTTATTTCATGAATGTTTTCTAGCAAATCACTCATACTTCAAAGATGAGGAATTCATTTTTGTCCCCATTAGGTATGTGGGCCTTTTTTCTCCTCTTTGATCATCCCTGTATTATTAGTTTTATTAGTGGCTTTATGTAATGTTTATAAATTAAAAGAGAAAACTCAGAAAAACACGTGGATCTGCCCTGCATCCATAAATCAGGCAACTTGAATATTTGGATGTTGTTACTTGCAACGTTGACATTGTCCAGCTAATTGCTAATTTAAAAGGTTTGCGGCCAGCAATCCCAGTGTATGGTTGTAAGCCTAACTGCAGAAATGAAAACAAAAGCCAGAAAGAAATAGATCCTTTTTCTATTCTGGTTCTCTATTAGTAATGATCTGTGTGCCAGGCCTTTCTATTAAAAGCAGTTTTTCAAACATGCCAAGGCAACTCAAATTGGCATTATGTTTTTGGTGTGAAAGAAATTCTGCTAAAATTTAACTTGCTTTATTCCTATACTGTTGACTGATACAGGGCACCTTTGTTGCCCGTTACTCTGAACATGCAAATGTTTACTTAGAGCTATTGCTGTGGTGTATATAGTTATGTTAATAAAATCTTACAAGATTAACATATGCAAACTATGATTATTACTCATAATAGCAATGTCTGAACCTTCTAATTTAAGAAACAATTTTTCATCCCAAAGTCTAGGATTCTTTGTGCTTGAAGAATGTTTTGTAAAGACTTTTTCCTCACTGTGACAAAAAATACAGCTAAAACAAGCTGTGTTTGTTACGTTTTAAGACAGAGTACAGCCAGAATATTAAGACAGAGTACATTTTGTACTTACACACACTCATGTTGTTAGACATTCAAGTGGCCTTACTGTGTCCAGTCTTGATATAATGGCAGGATAGCTAGGTACAATAAAGAACAAGCTTTCTCTCCTATAGTAGTTGCTTATGGAACTACTATTATGCAATATAGCTAGCCTAATAATGGTGCCAGGATGAGAAAAGCTGTGCTTGCCTAAATTCCCTCTGGTGTTGAAGCCTCAAGATCCTCAATCTTTTCTCCATCTGTCCTGATGGTATATCACTAATAAACAAATTAGATACTTTCATTTAAATATTAATTCTATATTGTCATGATTTCACAGTAAAAGGTCATAACTAAGATACAATATTTGATTCTCAAGCTTTGCATGATCTGGAAATCACTTGATGTCTTTAGCAGTCATGGTTACTGAGTTAGTCATGTTCATTATAAAGGCTGGAATAGAAGATACTGATTAAGAAACACAGTAAAAATCTATTTTAGTCAGATGGAGTAAATTTTCACACCTGCATTTTAGGAAAGCTGGTAAAATTTTCCTTCCCTTGATGACTATGTGAAATTAGTAAGGAATTATTATTTTTAGCCACATCAGCCTGTTTTAACATAGAATGCTAATGGGATGAATCTACTACATCCACCATCTAAGAAAATTATATGAAGTTTATTTTTAGAGTGCTGAGAGAAAAGCTAGAGTTGATTTGTTTATTTATGTATTTAATTAATTAATTTCTACTTCACTCCTCTTCTGAAAGGAACTTAGAATGATTTATAAATCTTAAATAAAACCATCACAGTAAATCAACATTGTTTAAAAATAAAAGGTGCAAATATAAACTTTTTAAAGTGAACTTTTAAAAAGTCAGAAAAGTAAAACAAACAAAATACAGTGCTATCTTAGAGGCACTCTGGTCCTGGATTAGTTTTTATCCCATAAATACGTAGGCAAGCAGGAATGTCTTCCACTGTTTCTGAAAGAAGAAAGCCATGGATTTCAAAAATTGTGTTGCTATCCTTGAGAAAGTTCTGTTGCTGCCCACTACACTGTGAACTAAACCCACTAGTGCTACCCTGCGAAGTACTTCCATAGC